GTAGGCAGGATGCCATTTTGGACCCTCCCCTTCATTCTGCATGAAAGGATAGTGAATAGGACCAAGCAGATTTATGGTTTCGGGGCCTCTTTCTAACCCCAGGTCTCTAGTTGGCTTCCTAAGGTCACTTTATGGTTAATCCTGACGTATCGGTTGTGTCTATTTCCATTACTTTGCTTATGGGTCAATACAAATAAATCATTTCAGATTACGTCTGAAGCTGTTTCTTGACAAGAGTTGTTTCTGATAGGTTCAAACTGACTTACTTAATCTAGTGCATGCAATCACTCTTCATTAATGGATGAGCACAGGGAAACATTTACTGATCTGAGACTAGTGGAAAAAAAAAAGATATATGATACTCTCTGCCTTCACCTTCTTTACCTATTCTTGCCCATAGGTCTGTTTATATACCACTTCATCTGCCTTCATTACAGAGTCCAGGGCTGCCCCTGCCAATATTGTGTCGATTTTACCTCTCTGTGCTGACAATGTATTTTTTCTACAAAACACAACCCGTTGTTATTTTGGGATATAGATCTTAAATCACCCCATTTGACCATTTTGTGAGTTATCTAAAGTGATGAAAATCAAAGGGATTGTATACATTAGTCCCATGAATTTAGTTCATGATATACACCACTAGGTGGATGTTTAACACTTGACACAGAAACAGCTCATATTGTTCATATGTTAAACATTAAAGGGACACTATAGGCACCAAAACAAATTTAGCTTAATGAAGCAATTTTGGTGTATAGGTCATGCCACTGCAGTCTCACTGTTCAATTCTCTGTCATTTGGGAATTAAATCACTTTGTTTATACAGCCTTAGTCACACCTCCCTGCATGTGAATTGCACTTCCTTTCTAAACACTTCCTGTAAGCATACATTTAATGATTAAACTTCCTTAATTGCACAGTCTGTTTAATTTAGAATTTTGTATCTCCTGCTCTGTTAGCAGCCTTCTAGACCCTAAAGAATCCTTTTACTTGTGATTAAAGTTCAATTTACAGAGCAGGATATAAAAACTTCTAAAGTAAGTTAACATCTGATTAAAATGAAACCTTTTTTTCATGCAGGCTTGTCAAGGAAGGTGAGGATAGGGTAGCGTAAACAGAAACAAAAGTGATTTAACTCCTAAATGGCAGAGAATTGAGCATTGAGACTGGAGGGGATGACCTATACAACCTAACTGCTTTATTAACCCCTTAAGGACACATGACGGAAATATCCCGTCATGATTCCCTTTTATTCCAGAAGTTGTGTCCTTAAGGGGTTAAGCAACAGTTGTTTTAATGCTTATAGTGTCCCTTTAAAATACTTTAAAATTGGTCCCGTACACAAATTGGTCCCGTATTCAGTTTTTACTTTAATAAAAATAAAGAAAATAGTACAATGATTTAAACAGTTGCAAACAAACTAATAATTTTTTATTAATGGTTTGTTTGCATTTCATATTTTACATGTCAGCCTTTGCACGCTATGAATATATATAACTAAGTGCTATATATTCTTAGAAGAAGATGACTCATGATAAGACATGTTTAACTTACACAGATTCGGCTTGTGAGTTTTTAGGTGACACGGAAACTTGTGACACACAATACGACAGCATTTCAATGTCAAGTAGAAAATGAATCAGACAGTTTAGTCATACAGCTTACCAGCAGAGAAGGAATTAGCAGATATTTGCAGTGTTCCTAATTCTTAGAATGTTCTGTGATTGCACTTTCTGACTTTTTTTTTTTCATTTCAAAAAAGGCTTTATTCAAACATAAGCATTTCAGGGTATGCCCTGATCCGTGTACATTAGCAAGTATCAGTTGATTGAACAAGTAAATAACAAATAACGGACTCGCAGGTCCCAACATTAAGTGTGCAGACAACACTCAAACAATGTTACTTAGTATTTCTATATGACATTTGGTCACGTTTAACACGTTAAGACATACATATGAGTGATCGGAATGCGGCTTGAATAGAGGGATATTCATAAGTTTGTGCCTTGCGTCTGTTTTATGTGACCCTCTAGTATTACCTTATCACCCTTAAGCCTCATTCTCTTTGGGGTAGTGAGGTCTATTGGTCCGTCGTCATATGTCAGATGTCGTTCAGGGACTTGTCTTACTCGTGTCGTATAGTTGCGTGATGAGGATGTTTGCGTCCATTTTGACGTGCAAATGTGAGTGAGTGACACAATTGTGGGCAATCTCAGATTAAGGCGGGCTACGTTTATCATATAACTTATAATGAAGCTATTGTTGGGGAGTTTTAAAGAGAAGATGAGTGTTAATTGAGGAAGAAGTAAGAGAAAAGGAGGGGGGGGAAGAGGAGGGGAGAGCTGGGTGAGGGGGGATAGGGGAGTATGAAGGGAGAGGTGGTCCCGTCATCCGTGACCACGGCGTAGTATGTATCGGACCAGGCATCAGTCCCCGTCTGTGGGTGGTCCTGGGGCTCCTTGGGGTTGCGAACGGCCGTTGCTATCTGTGTTTCGGTCTGCTATGTAGAGTAGCCACGGGCGCCACCTCTCCAAATGCTTGTCTTCTAGTCCTCGTAGTGTAGCCTGTATTAATTCCGCTCTATATATTTCTTCCACCAGTTCCAACCATTGTCTTATCGTCGGGGTAATCGTTTGTTTCCAGTATAATGGAATTAGTGCCTTGGCTGCGTTGATTAGGTGTCTACGAATGTTTTTCCTGTATGTGCTTATGGGATCCGATGTTGAGTGTAGGAGGACTGCCTCTGCGTTGAGGTTTCCTTCCGTCCCTGTGAGATCCCTTATTTTCTGTAGAACTTCGTCCCAGAATGGCTTAATGAGCGAGCATTCCCACCATATGTGCAGTGGCGAACCACGTTCATCTCCGCATCTCCAGCATATGTCAGGTACATTCGGGAAGATCCTGTGTAGACTGTCGGGTGTTCTGTACCAGAATGAGAGAAGTTTATAGTTGGTTTCTTGATATTGGGAGCTCGATGAGCATTTATGGTGTAATATGAGGATCTTTTCCCATTGGGATGTGGTGAAAGATGTATTTAGCATGCGTTCCCAGCGTCTGCGGAATTGGTCGTTGTTAGTGAGGTGCCCTACGAGTACGTGTTGGTATAGCAGGGATATCGCTTTACCTAGAGTAGTCTTGTGATCGCAGAGCGTTTCGAACCATGTCAAGTCCCTGTGTAACTTTTCCTTGTCTGGAAGTGTCCGGTAATATGTTCTGAGTTGTATATAACGGAGGGTCTGTAGGCTAGTGGGTTGGTCACCCTCTATTAGGTCCCTCAGGGGGATCATATCTGCGTTAGTCAACACCTTATGTATGGGGTGTGATTCCCTCTATCCCAGGAAGGACCATGCTGTCCGTGGTAGTCCTCCCCCTATCTGGGGGTTGTATTGTATCTGGATCATCGGGCTCGGTGCTGGAGAGACGTGAGTAGCTTTTCTGATATAGTCCCACGTTTTCAGTGTCTGTGCCACGGTAGAGGATGGTTCCAAATTCGTCTGCGGCATCTTCTTCGTATTCCACACTGATGTCAAGAAGGAGGGGCCTATATGTTGTTTGTCCAATTCGATCCATTGTTTATGTTCCGGTTGGGTATGCCATTCAAGGACGCGTTGTAGTACTGTCGCGTGGTGGTATTTGCGGAGGTCAGGGAGTGCCAATCCCCCCCATGCTCGGGGTAGGCAGAGGACTTCCTGTCGTAGTCTTGCCTGTTTCCCATGCCAGATGAACTTCACCATCGCGGAACGTAGTGACGCGAAATATGCCGTCGGTAAAGCTTGTGGAATCGTCTGGTATAAATATAACAGCCGTGGTAGAATATTCATCTTAAGTATTGCGATCCGGCCTAACCAGGAGATGTGTGGATATGTCCACGTTTTCAAATCTTGTTGGATTCGTTGTAGTAGTGGTAGGAAGTTTGTACGATACATGTCGTCCAGGTCTCTGGTTATTGCGATACCTAGATACCGCATATGGTTTGCGCACCATCTAAACGGAAATTGGTTCTTCAGTGTGGATGTTTGGGCCGTTGGGGTGGTAATGTTAAGCACTTCACATTTATTCATGTTCAGTTTGAATCCTGAGACCTCCCCGTAATCCGTGATCATAGTGACTAAGTGTGGCATTGTTGCCTCCGGTTCCGTGATAAAAAATAAGAGGTCATCTGCGTATGCTGCTACTTTGTGTGTTGTGTCCCCGCTTTTGAAGCCTTTGATTGTATCCGATGTGCGCACCGCTTCCAGGAACGGTTCGAGAGCTAGGGCGAAGAGCATGGGGGAGAGTGGGCATCCCTGTCTTGTCCCATTGTGGATCTGGAAGGAGTCGGTAAGCGCTCCGTTCACTCTCCCCTTCGCATTGGGGCAGTGGTAGATCGCATCAATCCATTTCATCATGTTCTCTCCGAAGCCCATTTCCCGTAGCGTGGTCATAAGGAATGTCCAGTCAACCCGGTCAAATGCTTTTTCCGCATCCGTTGACAATAGAAGGAGCTTACCTGTTGATTTCTTTGCCAGGTGATGGATGGCCTGCACTCTAAGAGTGCTGTCCCTGGCTTCTCTCCCTGGGATGAACCCCGTCTGGTCTGGGTGGACCAATCTCGGAAGCATTTTCCCTATTCTGGTGGATAGTATTTTAGTGAGGAGTTTCACATCCACATTTAGTAGTGATATCGGTCTATAGCTACTGCAGAGTTCGGGATCCTTCCCAGGTTTCGGGAGAACCGTTATAGTTGCCGCTAATGATTCGGGTCCGAGTCGGGCGCCGTCTATCAAAGCGTTAAATGAGTTGGTGAGTCTCGGGAGCAGTAGGGTTCGGAACTTTTTATAGTAGTCCAAGGTAAAGCCATCAGGACCTGGGGCCCGTCCCGTTTTGGCGGTCTTGAGTGCCCCTGCAACTTCTGCCTCCGTAATCGGTATATCCAGGGACTCCGATTCCCCTTGCTGCAACCTCGTCTTCATGTGTGATTCGATATAACTCCTTATTCTATCCCGTCTGAGTGTTACCTCCTCCGGTAGTGTGGGTCCCGGGATGTTGTATAACGAGGCGTAAAATGTGCGAAACTCGGATGCTATTTTGTCCGGGAATTGTGTGATCGTGCCATCTGATGTCCGTAGTTTATGTACCTGGGTCATGCCTTGGGGGCCTCTAAGCATTCTGGCCAGCAGTCGCCCTCCTTTGTTGGCGTGTTGGTAAAAGAAGGCCTTCGATCGTTGTATGGAGCTATAGTGTCGTTTCGTCATGTGTGTATGTAGAGATCTTCGAGCTTCCAATAATTCTTTATACGTCCCCTCGAGTTGTGAACGTTTATGTTGCAGTTCAAGCGTAGTTATGCGCGTTAGCAGGTCTGTTATATGTTTCCGAGATTCTCTCTTCTTCTGAGAAGCTAGGTGCATCAGTGTCCCTCTGAGCACACTTTTGTGCGCTTCCCATATCGTGGTCGCGGGAAGATCACCTGTCTCATTCAGTGTGAAATAGGAGGTGAGTTCCTCGGAAACCTTTTCCTTCACTGATGGGTCCAAGAGTAATGAGTCCTGGAGTCGCCACGACCTAGTGGTTGGGCGTACCCTAGGGGAGTCCATTTGCAGGGTCACAGGACCATGATCCGACCAGCTTGCTGTTCCGATTTCTGCTGTTTGGATAGCGTCAAGATGTTCCTGTTGAAGGAAAATGTAGTCAATCCTTGCGTATCGCTTATGTATCACCGAGTAGTGAGTGTATTCCCTGTCTGCCGGGTGCATCGCTCGCCAGCAATCCACCAGCCTAAGGTTCTTTAGTGTTTTTTGAATGCTTCGGATGGCTCCTTGGGTGATGCTGCTATGTCCCGTGGATGAATCTATGAGAGGGATGAGGGGAACATTAATATCTCCTCCAACGATTAACGTGCCCTCCGTGAATGAGGAGAGGTTGGAGAGAGATTTACGTATGAAGTGTGATTGGTTGTTGTTTGGTGCGTATATCGTCACGAGGGTGTACCTACGGTTTTGTATGTCTCCCTTAATGAACAGGTATCTGCCATTAGGGTCAACCAGTCGCTCCACTTCCTGGAACTGTAGTTGAGCATGGGTGAGAACTGCTACACCAGCCTTACGTGCAGTCGGGTGGTTGCTGAGAGCCGCAGTGGGGTAGTGTTTGCTCTTCAACGGGGAGCATGTCCTTCCTTAAAGTGTGTTTCCTGTAGGAAAGCAATCGATACGCGCTTAGAGGTAAGCTCTCGGAGAAGGTGCGATCTGCGCTCCGGGATATTTAGGCCCCTGCAGTTCATGGTTGTGATGCATAGAGGGTCAGGTTCGTAGGCCATTTGCGATTGGTGGGGGTGGTTCGCCATGTCCTTTAACGTTTTGTTTACTCTTCTAGTCGGTGCCTGGTGTCGGGTGCTGCCCCGTCTCTTTTAGGAAATGCCGTGGGCACGGAGGTGGCGGGGGGGGTGACGGTAGTGGAGAAGTTGGGGTGGGGGGTTGGATCAGAGTCGTATGGGGAGGGATGAGGTAGGGTGGAGTTTGAGAAAAGATGTAGAGAGTCCCCTAGGCGGGGGTATGAAGGTAGAGGTAGGTTAGCCGTCCCCAGAGGGGGACAGTACGGCACCTAGAGGTAGGTGTCAGAAATCCCTCCTGTGAGGGTTGGTTCGCGTGACCACGGTAGCAGTCAGTAGTCGGGTCTGTCAGAGAATATCTAACGACCTCCAACTATCGACTCTCCGTGGTTCGAATTTGTTCACGCGGACTTGGCGGGGGTTAGTGGTCTAGTCTTTGCGCGTTCCCACCACGTACGGTGTATCTACTGTTTGTCGTTACAGGTATATAAGTCCGAGATTACCCAGTGGGTGTGCCACCAGTGTGGGAGCATTTGAGTGTCGTTAGCGTTAGTGTGAGTAATGGGTCTAGTCTGGTGGTATCAGCAGTTATTAGTATTGTCGCTTTTCGTATCCTTGGTTGATGTAGTGCTATCGAGTGGTGGAGTGTTTTTAGGCTGTATGGTCGGTGCCAGGGTCAGGGTCTATATCGGATCTGGGCAAATTCCTGTGTCTGGGGTAGGGCAGAGTCCTGGTGTGGCATGACTGTCACGTAATGTGCGGGATGTTTGGTTCGCTCTGGGGGTAAGTGGTGTCATCTCCCCCAATTTCAATGAGATAGCTGTCCCGGTCAATATTGTGGTGAACAATTCAAAATGTGCATCATATCTCACAGTACATTCCCTCCCCACCCAAACCGCAGAACAAAACATATATACATCAGTTGCAGCATTGGATCCCCTTCGTGTACCTCCTAATTCCCATCTTCCTCTTGCAGCACCCTCGTCTCATGTTGGTGTACCTGTGTGTGACCGTATCTAGGCCTGGGGGGGACGGGGTGATATCGTGTATAGCGGTTCCTACCTAGATCTGCTGTGGTCATGAGCTATCTGCATCAGGTGTCCTACGCTAAGGGATTCTAAATTCCACCCTCCCATTCTCCCGTATCCTCCCCCACTCCACCAGTTTGTTTGAACTGTTGGCCTAGGAATACAACAATCAGTGTCTCGCTGGATCTAAACTACCCCCCATGCAGCCCAATACAGTCCCACAAATCCCTCCCCCCTGTCTGCACCCAGCGTAGGTCCGCAACATGCAGCCAGCCCAGCTTTCATCATTCCCCCCTGAACCTGTTAGCACGAGTCCTCCAGAGTGTCGTGTCTCTGCCAGTGCAGGTATCCAGTTCTGGATCATATTCTTTTGTCGGTTCCTTGTAGGTGCGGTGGCAAGTCCAGCCAAGGGATCCGACTCGTGATTCTTCAGCTTCCCTGGGTTCCCAATGTGGCTATCACAAGCCTTCCCCCCCTCCCAAGAGAGTCTCGTGATAGTGCCAACCCCGTGTGCCACAGGCTATGGAAAGGTGGGTATAAAGTGGGGAGTATCTTGGCCGGTGGGGCCTAGTAGAACTGGTACCAACAGTTCCATCTCCTGTGGTCAAGAGCCTGTTATGTCCCTCCTAGTCCCCATCTAGATTGTGTGGGTCGCTGGGTGTGCGCACACCAGAGGTAGCGTGCGGAGTTGGCTCCTTGGGTCAGTGGGTTGTGGGTAATGAGTTCTGTCTGCGGGGCGTCGGTTGCGTCTACATCTTTTCAGGTAACCTGATCATAGGTGTCACAGAGAGACGAGCCCGGTGCCATCGGTGCTTGGCTATTCTTCTG